GACATCGAAACCAAAACCTAATAATCTTAATGGAAAAGGTTTAGGACAGTCAAAGCTAAAAAAAGCACGCCAAGTTCGATCAAATGTCAAAGTTTTGCTTATAGTTTTTTTCGACTACCGCGACATAGTACATCAGGAATTCTTAAAACAAGGTCGTAACATCAATAAGGAGTATTACTTTGAAGTTATATGCTGTTTGCGAGAAGCAATACGACGAAAAAGTCCGGAATAATTTAAAAATAATTCATGGGTTTTGTATCGCAATATGTACCTGCCCATTCATTGTTGCTTGGCAAACAATTTTTGGCCAAAAACAACACCACACTCATACCTTATCCATTATATTCACCAAATTTGTCCTATTGCAATTTTTCCAGTACCTAAAACTGAAGAGACCTATAAAAGGAGAGAGATTTGCAACTATTGAGGAGATAATGATTGCATCACTGAAAGAACTCAAGGCTATACCAGAAAATGCTTATTAGAAGTTCCTTGAAGATTGAAAAAAAAACGCTGGCATAAGTGTATTATGTCTGAAAGGAATTATTTCAAAGGGCAATATAAATATTGTGCAACGATTACCGAAAATCGTAGACTCGCGCGAAGTTAGCGAGCGGCTAAACGAGAGTAGCCGCGCTCGGTTCGCGAGAGAGAGAGAGAGAGCGTAGGGGCAATGACCGGGAGGGGAGGGTCCGACCGGTAGTATGACTGTGCTACTCAGTCAGTTTGTGCGCCTAACCTCCGTTTTTCCGAGCCGTTCTAGCCTGTGTTTTCCTGGTGACATAGCGAACGTGAGTGAGGGTGCGTTAGCAGCAGCAATAGCGGCAGCAGCAGCAATAGCGGCAGCAGCAGCAATATCGGCGGCAGCCCTAGCAGCAACAGCAGCATTAGCAACAGCAGCAACAACTACAGCAGCAATAGTTGTTGAGGCGGTGCAGCAAGCAGCGGAGCAGCTTATTATCAACTTGTTGTTCGGATACGGTTGGCCACCGTATCCACATCGTCCTTGCGGTAGGTGCACCTTCCCTTCTCTTGTTAATTTTGGCGTGCGAATCCGCGCAGCGAGCGCGAAGAATTTGTTTATTGCGTGCGAGCAGGTAGTTCGCGGTAATCGCGGTTTTTTCTCTCTCTCTCAAATAGCGTGTCTTGTCATTCACGCGTGCGTGCGTAAGACTCTCGGCCAATTCCCCGTGTAATTTGCTTGATTTAATAAATCATCCCTTGGTTCTGTTTAAACGAGTTTCCGTTATTGTGTTCTTTCCTTTGTCCGGAGGTCGCGCCTATATTTGTTTACATTTCGTTCGAATTCGCCGGTAGTGTAGCACGGAGCTCGCTGAGATCGGTAGAGGCGAATCGGTAACAGCGTTTCCATCGGCGGCCGCACGAGCGCTACTAGCAAGGAGCGACAGCGCCGCCAAGTGGCGAGTTGGGGGAACCCAACTCGGAACAGTGAAGAGACTCTGCGCAGGCGCACTCCGAGGCAAGGTAGGTTCTGTGCTCTAAGCACATAGATAACAAGGCGTCGTTTAGTCACATTTAAAGGTACGTTTGCGTGATTTTAGACTAAATGGCAGCCTGTTACAATTGATGAATAAATAAATTTTTTTTAATAAAAATAAAATGTAACCTTACTTTTGGAACAAACTTCGTAGATATAGCAAATAATAATTCTCGAATAATTTATTGATCGATAATAAGTAAATTACTATCTATTGCTCTTGAAAAATCTAGGATTTTTCAAAAATATCGAGATTCGTTGATTTGTTATCGAGATACGCTTCAAATTTTTAGCACATCAGTTGTATAGGGAAGTCTCGAATCTATTTGTTAATAACAAAAAAATATTGCTTTTTGGAAGCTGAAAATAAGGTGTTCAAAATAAATTCGCCTAGTAATGTATGAAAATTGTTTTACGTCGAAAAGTTACAGCCATTTTGTAACACAAAACCTTTGGCCAAAAATAGTTACATCCACGTAGTTTAATCATCTTTAACATAACTAATACGAGTATCTCAGCAACTAATTAATATATTCAAAAATACAAGAAAGTGTTTTTGCTAATCATGAGAGCTTTCTTTTAATAGCAATACGATTGAAGAAAATGTTATTTTTACAATAAATATTCAATATGTTGTTAATGACCATTTTGAAGGATTATTGGTACTTATTGCAATAAACCATCAACGAAAATGATCATATGACGGCTCGAATTATAGCGTTGTTAATACTCTAAATCTTTTATTTGAAACTATTTTATCGATGACTAATAACATGGCTTGCAGAGACAAAAACGTATTTTTACCTACTTTGATCCACTATTTTGAAATTTCGTATAGCGCAACGTAATATTAACTTTTACAAATCCCATTTTCATGTAAATCCCTTATTAACTGCTGTAATTTAAAAACATTTTAATATCGGTCAATGATTACACAATATTTTAAAATATTTCCTGCATAATTTATAAAAAGCTATTTTTATTTCATAAAAGTTTATTAATTAATTATTATTAATTATTATTTAATCACATTTGCATAATAATAACTACATAATGACAAATTAAAAATGTCGTACACGTAATCGCATTTGCATCATCCCATTTTGTAAAAAATATATTTTCAATGATTGCTACCGAAAGAGTTAAGCTACTGTTGGTATCATGTTGCACTCTAACTTATTTTGTATTTATACTATAACAACTCAAACGTACAAAACGTGGTTTTTATTGAAATTAGTTCAAAACTTTAGCAGGCTGTTATTTAAATGTTTAAAAAATTTATTCATAAAATCATTCAACATTATAAAGATTAATCATTACTTGATATGTGACGAGAGCAAGCGTTACGCTTCCGTTGCAGTATCAAGGTCAAGATTTGTAAATTAATTTCTCTCTCTCTCTCTCTTCGACAATGGTACAGTGCGTGATTTGAAGTAGGTAGGTAGCAAGGCGTGCATACGACGGCTACCTGCCCTAATTACGGTCGGTGTCATAAATCGCTCAAAGAGAAATCGTCCAGGCGATTCCTCGCCGGGCGACTTTGTCTTTCAAATAAGTCGCCTAAGTCAGTTTGTCGTCAAGACGGTCATCTGCCAGGCGACGCGCGTTGTTTTGTATAGATTTGTAAGCGCGATTAGTTAACTTGTTCTCTTTGTAATAGGTGTTAAGAACGTCGTTGTGTTTATTAGATTAAGAGTTTGTGTAACGCGGCTTATTTTTATGCGGTTTATTAATGTGCGGTATTGCGAAGTTTGAGTGTAATTTAACTTTGATTCGATTTAATTAGATTTGTTAAAATGCGAATTTGTGTTTTCTGTTTATAATTCATTAACCTGTTTCATTTCTTTGCCTCTTCTCCCTTCCCGCCTCAATTACTATGAGCGAGTGTGCCTCACTTGCCCACCTTAAAAAAAATGGTTAACGAACGAGCTTTCGTTACAGATAATTTTTACAAAGTCCGACGAAAATCGTATGAGCCATTGAAAAGATTTTTTTTTTAAATTGCACTTTACTAATAAACTGATTAATTTTTTTCATAATTATTTAGTAATTACATTTGAAAAGCTGCAAGAGTGGTCAGCCACCGTGCGCCTTGGGCTGGTCTCTTCTAATTTTTCTGGGTTCTTTCTCGGTAAAGAAAGCCGGCGCTGACTTTCACAGGCCGAAGTTCGCCCTGGTTAGGGAGGTTGATACAAATAATCGGACACGTTAATTCAATTGTACTACATATGGCGATCTCATTTATTGACGTCTTTTCACAAATATCGCTACAAGATTTACTTCGCCGCGGTGAGCGCGCTCGCTCAACCTTTCCGCGACTAGCGTTCGCGGGATCACGCGAGCGAGATCGCTCAGCGTGCGCGATAAATTTAAAATACGCTAATGTCCGTAATCGAGCGAGAGCTGGCGCGAGAGAGTTTAACTGGCTTTGAACCCACCGGATGCCGACGATCCGTCGACAGAGAGGCGACGCCGGCGAAAGCGTAGTCCCGCAGGAAACGGCGCCCTGGCGACGATGGAAGCTGCTGCAGGAAGGGCCGCAGCACGGCCTTTGCCTTGTGGACGGCGAATGGTCGCTGCTTGTCCGAGCTCAGCTTTGAACACCTGGTTCTCCTGGCAAGTGGCAGTCACACTCCTGGCAGTAGTTCCTTTCCTGCCGAATTCTTGTCTTCACCAGTCTCTCCTTAGGCGGCCCTAATTACTCGAGAGCTCGCGCCTAACTGCCCTTCCTCTCTCTTAATTTCTCAGCCTCGCGCCACCGCGCTCTCACTTCTCTTGCCGTCAAAAATCAGTCAAAATCGCTCTCTCTCTCTCTCTCTCTCGCTCTTCTCGCTCTCACTCGCACTCACGGCGAAACCTCTCCGATCGTCGCACTTCACTCTCCAAATCCTGCAACGACACAAGTATGTAGTCGCTATATAGCATACACTTGGTCGCTGCGTTCACGCGAGGAGAGTGCCACACACAGGGCTAGCGAACATCGCTATAACCCTGTCACAAAGCTATAAGCTACACGCTGAATTTTTCCACAATATTCTATTTATTATTTATAAAACGGAAAGTCTCTGAAGTTGACCTCGTAAAAAATAGCTCAGAATTCCGTGTTTGTTTCCTTCTGATCGTTGCTTTAACTAAGCTAATTAAGCTAGACCGACCGCTGACAAAGCAATTGATGCGCCAAATGTTATTCAACGTTATTTTTTTTCTACATCATTGTGCGATTTTTTTGCAGAACTACACGCTCGGAAAGTAAGAGGCTTATTATTTTTTAACCGATAGTACTCCTATTCTCATGGAAGAAAATACAATTAACTACTATACTAAAAACAATTATATAATATGCAAAATTTCATATTCATGAAAATCTGATTTCAATTTAATTATGTGATATTTTTTTAAATCAATAAACATATTTCTATGTATTTATTTTATTCAAAACCTCGATGAATTTCATTATAATTTTTTATTTATTTGTTTATGTGTGAATATATAGATAAAGTACCTGCTGGAAGAATGTTGTGAGTGTAAACTACCAGAATTTTGTGATATTACTTGATTACGAGAAGAACTTATGCTGAAATTTGTTCCAGTCATAATACGTAAGTTATTTCCTTGTTCAAATGTGACCGGCAAGATTCCACTGTTGAAAGTATCTGTAAATATAGTGAATATATTAAGTAACATTACAGTAAATAATAATTCATAATAAAAACTATGTAATTTTCAATAATTTTTAACAAATAAATGCATAAATTAATACATACACACACGCACATAAAACATATCTTATTTTATTTAATCAAATATGATGTTACATATCACCTTTAATTTATATTGACTTCGTACTCTCGTGGTGTCTCACGTTATTGAGTAAGGATCCGTTTGAAATTGATTCAAGTAAATATATAGATATATATCAATGAAAATAAATATTAAAATTAATCATTGTTACGTTCTGTTTTCCTCTCTTCGGATGACGGAAGACTATCTTCCAACTGTTTCTTGGTCTTGTTGATCGAATGTACAGCGCGCTTGTAGCACCATTCACGGCTACGCACACCACACAGGTCGAGAGGGATTGGTGGAGAGTATAGGTTTTTAAATTAATTTCTCTAGAAACTATTCCAGAGAAAAAATTTGTTCATTTCTTTCGTGATAATCAAACTATTCGCTCGCGACTTGGAACGCGTCTCCTGTCTCCGTTGTCATGTCTCTATCAGCCTTTTTCGCTTATCGTTCTCAAAAAAGGGGAACCCTATCCCGAAAAGCTTCCGAGCACCCTCACTACCCAAATGTGAAAAGATAGAAAGAGTAAGTCGCTCATTGTCGCAAAAATGAATGTCACCGGCCAATCAAGTAATCACTCCGCTTTCCACGCTGTAAAATCAACCGCGCGGGCGAAAATCATGCGTTGACTCACACGGAGGCGATAAAGAGAAAGCCAGTTCAAAAATAATAGAGAGTGATCAAGTAAAAATGGAGAGATGAAGAGGGACGATGGACAGAAAGAAACGAGAGACTAGGAGAGAGGGAAAAACTTCTCTCTCTCAGCCTCGTGGCTCTTTACTCATAAAGTGTATATCGAGCGCTATAATGTAGGTTTGACAATTTTGCAGAAGGCAACCTCGTATCGCAGACACACGTATCTTTTCGCGATCGCGGAGAACAGCAAATCTGCCCAGTTAGATATTTTTGCGTGAGAAACATTATAATAAGCTTTTTCACACAAGCGATTGCTTAGTGAGACTTCAGCATCTAGTGTCCGCTCTAGCGTGAGACGTAACATTCATAATCTATAATTGTAATATGGAAATTAAAAATCTAAAAGTGTTCTATAAATCAAGCGTAAATTAGAATAGGAGACGAAATGCTTCCATACTTAATCACAAGAGAGAACCAACTCAGATAGAAGCCAAGTTTATTCAATTTCAAGCACTACCTTTGCAAGGCTAGAAAAGGATCTGTCTAGCCTGAGCAAAATCAAACCTATTTATACATAGATCTCGAGGATTCAACAATAATATTTTCAATGAAAAACTAAGTAGTGTAAAAAATAGGTAATTTAAATTTAATTTAAAAATTGTACTTAACAGTTATTAATCACCAAAGTTTGTTAATTTAATATCGCAAAACTCACAATACAATAATTGAAATTTTTACATAGAAAGATAACTTATTGGTTACGGAAGTAAATATAAATAAGAAATTCTTAAATTATTTAATGATATTTGAATTTTAATTAATTTTCGTTTTTGGACAAATTTTATGATGTAAATATAAAATAGGCTAATTAATAATTTATTAATTAATAATTTTGTCAGTATGTATAGAATTAACACTTTCAATTCATTTTATTTTATTTGTTTAAATGAATTATTAATTTTTTATTTGTCGATAACAATCGTAACTAAGTTGATATCAATGAAATGAAATCTTACTCATATTTCTAAGATTGTCATCTCGAGTTCAGAGTATTGGCTTTATTACAATAATGAATATTCGTAAAATTATAAATAAATGAAGTTTGCATATCAAAATTTAATAATATTTAAGAGTTTATAACATTTGAAGATATTATAATTGTAACCTATGCATCAAAATTACAACAAAAAATACTTTAGTTCATTGAAATTATTTTGGTTAACACGCTTTAATTGAACAATAAAAAGAGGCGTAACTATACCTGTTGCGTCTTGATAAGGCTTACACAGGCAAGATCAATATAAGGACACCGTAAATTCGTATATATTTATTGCTGACTGTAGAAAAGCTTTTAAAAAAGTATTCCTATGAAGTCGTGCGGCAAAGACAAGCGAAATTAGTTAATACTGCAAAAATCAACTGATTCGCGAGCACGTGTTAGACATAAAATAAATCTAACAATAATAGCACGAACGTCAGCAAGGGCGGAGTATACTACCTCCAGGTGCCAAATATCTAATTTTCCTAACTTGCATTGAGCTAAGGTGAGAAAATTAACGCTTCCGCGAGGCATTTTTTGTCAACGATAGTCAGTCTAGCTCGAGCATCACGACAAAGTAGTACAACTCTCTTTCAATAAATGTTAAATAAGATGCCGCTCAGTTTCAAATCTATCTTTTTGTCATTCTGTTTTCGAGAAATAAATATCTAATTACACAAGTGTAACTGGCAGTTCCATGTACGAGGGTCGTTTGAAAAGTCCGTGCAAAGTCAGAGAGATGGCGCTACTAGTGCATATCAAGGTTATTTTCAGTTAGTGGCATATCTTGGAAGAACACACACCAAGTTTCTGCCAGATCGGCCAATTACTTTGCGTTTTACATTCGTTTCAATCAAAAAAATTGAGTGGTTGTAAAAAAATGGACGAAAAAGAAATTCGTGTATTGATTAAACATTACTTTTTCAAAGGCAAAACGCCTCAGAAAATTAAACAGAAGCTTGATAAACATTATGGTGATTGTGCACCTTCGATTAGAATGGTTTATAAGTGGTTTCAAAATTTTCGGAGTGGCCATGTGAGCACAAAAGACGCTGAACGTTCTGGCCGCCCTGTTGAGGTTACCACTTTAGAAATCATTGATCAAATCCATGATATGGTGATGGCTGACAGAAGAGTGAAGGTGCGTGAAGTTGCCAGTACTGTAGGCATCTGGAGCGAACGGGTACATAATATATTGCACCGACACTTGGACATGAAAAAGCTATCCGCTAGATGGATGCCGCGATTACTCACGATTGATCAAAAACGAGATCGTGTGAAGTGTTGCAAGAATGGCTTGCAGCTGTTCCAGCAAAATTCCCAAGACGTTAAGCGTCGTTTCATCACTGTAGATGAAACATGGATACATCACTACACTCCTGAGACCAAAGAACAGTCTAAACAATGGATTACCAAGGGAGAATCTGCTCCGAAAATGGCGAAGACAATTCCTTCGGCCGGGAAGGTTATGGCGACTGTCTTTTGGGATTCGCAAAGAATGATCTTCATGGACTATCTGGAAAAGGGTAAAATCATTACAGGCGAATATTATTCATCGTTATTGGATCGTTTGAAAACCGAGTTACTAGAGAAACGTCGACGATTGGCCCACAAAAAAGTCCTCTTCCACCACGACAATGCGCCAGCTCACATCTCAGCAGTTGTGGCCGCAAAACTGATGGAATCCAACTCGTTTCACATCCCCCTATTCTCCAGACTTGGCTCCGTCGGACTACTATTTGTTCTCTAATATGAAAAAATGGCTGGCGGGGAAAAGATTTTATTCAAACGAAGAGGTGATTGCAGAAACTAATGCCTATTTTACAGACTTGGATAAATCCTATTATTTGGAAGGGATTAACAAACTAGAGCAGCGTTGGATGAAGTGTATAAGCCTAAAAGGAGACTATGTTGAAAAATACAAAAGATTTATTAAAAAAATCAAGCAGGTTTTACTTTTGTACGGACTTTTCAAACGACCCTCGTACGAGTTCTACATTCCTCATATTCTCATTTTATAATTGCCGTTTATTCCGCCAATCCCTCGACGAACTTATGCTAAGTATGATTAACTCAAAATAGCACATTCGTGCACACAATCGTTGCCGCATATAGGAGGAATCACATAATATCCACAACATTAAAAATAAGGAAGCTAAGACGCAGTCACTAATAAAAGGAATATCAGAGCCAGCCGAACAAAAAAGGGAAAAATAATAAATCCAACTAATGGACTTTATCGAATACATTGATAACTATAGGTAATGAAAGTTGATATCTCTTATTATCTGAGGTTACATTTTTGTTATTAATTTATTTGATTTACAGTATTTCAGCTAACTTTATTACTTCCACGATATTAAATATTATACTATTTCATACGCTCGAATCCCCATTATTCCATAAACCTTTGCTATTCGAGCAGATACACGAATTATTCCCTTATAAAATAACATAAAAACAAGATGTAACAATATCTATAAGTAGAGTAACGTGACGCTCCTTACATAGTCATGAAATCTGATTCTTGCTCTAACACAATCATATAATACCTAAGGGGCTGCCGTTCTCTATACTAATTAATAGGTATAGATTTGCTAGTTTAGCGAATTGCCATGATACAGTGAAAACCGAGAAAATGGTGCAAGAGCTCATAGATAGGACCGTTACACAATAGTTATTGGACATAATCGGTATAATACTTGGTATAGTTTTCAAAATGATCATACTAACTTTTGATTTTGAAATTCAAATTCTCCTTTTTTCCATCTCGATAGTCACATGTACAAATAAATACTTGTGTTTGCTCGTGAAGGCGAAAAAAGAATTAAAAAAATCTAATTTCGTAGTTAAGTAAATCTTAATTATTGCATTGACTCATTGAGCGATATCTCACCAAACATAGAGAGGTCAGTAGAAATCTGCCTTTAAAAGAGTATGTGTTAGCATCACATAGGGAATATTCTTGCTACCTAAGATCACCGACCGATTTTACATAGCGCACTCTTGACAAATCGGTTGGTATTGAAAACTTATATTTATATTATATCTAGTCATCTAGAGGAAAATCGCTGTGACGCTTTAATCGCCTCGAGAATTTTCAGTCTCGAGTATAACCTCGGTAATAGCCTTCAGAAACTTCGTTCTTGAATCTAGACTCGAGACTTTCTCGAATGTACCTTGAATTTCTCT